TTTTCATCTAGTAAAGCTTCCTTAACATTTTTAGGTTCAATTAAGAACAAGTAGACAGTAGTAATTAATGAAAAGTAAGAACTCTGACCTTGATACAAGTCCTTACATGATCTTGTTTTGATTCCATCTTTAATGTTTCCAATGACTTGATGTGGAGGATGTACCTTAGCAATGTGAGGTGGTGCACTAGGCTCGTGTGATTCATTTTGCTAATTTACTGAAAACTCCTCTTCGTGAGTGAATGAAGGTGACTTCGTTCGGATTAGTCCCAAATCATCCTCATAGTCTTTCTGTTCTTTTCCAGACTCATAGATGCTGTCAGTTTCATCACAAACAACATGTATTGATTCCTCGACTTTCAAAGATCTCTTGTTGAAAACTCTATAAGCTTTACTATGCGTATAGTATCCTAAAAGTACTCCTTCATCTAACTTTGAATTGAACTTACCTAGGTTATCCTTAATGTTGAGTATAAAGCATCTACACCCAAATGGTCTAAGATAACTAATATTTGGTCGCCGATCCTTCCAGATTTCATAAGGTGTTTTTTCTATGATAGGCCTAATCAATGTTCTATTGAGAACATAACATGCAGTAGCTTAGGGGTGGCAGTTCGGTTATCGGTTAACCAGCTGGTTATCCACTAACCGGTAACAGAAGTAACCGAACTTTGGTCGGTTATCGAAGGCTGGACGAAATGATTTTTGGTCTTAAAAGTGGTTCGGTTAATCGATAACCGAGATAACTGAAAAACCAAAGCCTATTTCGGGTGGTTTTGGTAGGGGAGTGGTTATTTCGGTTAATCGGTAACCGGCCGATCGGTTACCGGTTATAACCAAAATAACCAAACTGCCACCCCTACAGTAGCTACTACTTCTGCCCAAAAATATTTTGAAAGCTTGTAATCATTGAGCATAGTTCTAGCTAGTTCTATGAGAGCTCTATTTTTTCTCTTCACTACACCATTTTGTTGAGAGTCCTAGGAGTTGAGAATTCATGAGAGATACCTAGTTGATCACAGAAGTCTCCAAAGCTCTCTGAATCAAACTCTCCTCCATGATCACTTCTAATGCTTTTAACATTGAGAGATTTCTCATTTTGAATATTTTTGACAAGAGTCTTGAAATTCTCAAGAGCATCATCTTTGTGAGACAGAAAAATTACCCAAGTATCCCTTAAAAAATCATCTACAATGACAAAAGCATATGATAGATGTCTAATCTATTTCTACGTTAAACTACAAAGAAAACTAATAACTTTAGGGTTTATTCTTCGCATAATCGGCCGAATGACATAACAAGGGTTTATATGGATATCTAACCCTAATCGACTAATGGCAATAATGTAAATAACAATAATTAGATAAATATGGTAATAGCGTATATGCATATACACAACAATCTCATCCCCTTCAGCATAACCTTGTCCCCAAGGTTAATCTCATCCGTCATCCGGGAAATTGCCAACCATTAAAAATAGCTCCTGACCAGCGCAACGATGTTCAATCGTGAATCGCTCGTCGCAGTTGAAGCATAGTCCATCTCTGCGACGTCGTGCGATCTCTGCTGGAGTACGCTTTATGGTTCCGAACGGAACCTGGGGTGGTGCCCGCACTGCTGACGAACTCCACTAGCGATTGCTGGTTTTAAGCCTGACAAATAAGCCTTAATTAGAGTATTAACAGGCCAGCCTCTGCAGCGATACACCAACTTCTCAAACTCTAGTCTATGCTCGTCAACAGACCCCGCCTGTCTAAGATTCATAAGGTTCTCTTCGCTCGCTCCCCTACCAGCTGGTTCGAACCTTGACCACAACTCTTCCTTAAAACGTTCCCACGTCACCACTTCCGTAGAAGTCTCCATAGTGTACTCGAGCCACTGCCACCACTGTCCAGCATCGCCTTCCAAGTAAAATGCAGCCCAGGGAACCTTCTGTTCTTCCGATATTCCTTGATACTTGAAGAATTTTTCAGCTCGAGAAATCCTAACAGTTGCGTTGTCTTGGTCGTTGAATTTTGGGAATTCAAGTTGTGGCGGTCTTGCGCGAAAGGCTCCCAAAACCCCATCTCCTCCTGCTCGCCCGAATACCTCAAACCCACCCTGAACTGGAGCTCCCCAAGTTGTACCTGAATTACCCTGAATTGGTCTGACCTTCTGCTCGAAATGAACCAGTTCAGTCCAACCTTGATCCGCCCGGTTTGCTTCCCATGCCAAACCAAACCCACGACCTACTCCATTATTCCCCCTGCAAATTGCGTTGGCCCCCAAGGAATGGGCTCAAAATGGTGGGGATTTTCATTATATGGCCCAAAATTGACGGAAGCTCCACCATGATCCCTGCCGCCTAGATGGAACTTCTCCCCCTTGCCTTCCGCACGATACCCGCCACCATGGAGCCCCGCAATCGGCGTCGCAACAGAATCCCTGAAGTCGCCATCGAGCTGAACCTCTGGTGCCATTGTTGCTGAGGAAGACGGTGTGAACGACGCACCCCTAGCACCCCCCAAATGCCCCTTTCCCGGTAGCCTCTCCCAATGGAAGAAACCCAGCCGGCGGAGTCGACAACACCATTGACGCCGCTCCCGATCCGCTGCTTTGCTTCCTGGCCGGCGACTCGCTGGCCATCGATGAGACAGCGACTGCCTTTGCCTTCTCCTGTCGCCCCAACACGTTGTTTGGCAATATTGATTCATGAGTCGCCTTCTGCGAAACCTCCGGTGATTTTGATTCCATCAATCCCACTTGAGCCCGCGACAAAACTTGTTGGAGAAGAGCCTTGAGTTCTCTAAGTTCGGCCGTCACTGAGGCATAGTTAGCCGTGAGCTTTGTCAGTTCATCGTCAACAAAATTCAATCGACCATCAACCCCTTCCAATTTGGTGGTGTTGGCCGCTTGTTGTTCTCCCAATCGAAGCAGCCGTCTCTCTGCGTTCGTGTCATGTTTCTCTGTCTTCTCGCCCGCATTCTTGGCCACAGTTCTGGTATCAACCATCGTAATCGAATCGCGGATCAACCACTCTGATACCAATTGATAGATGTCTAATCTATTTCTACGATAAACTACAAAGAAAACTAATAACTTTAGGGATTATTCTTCACATAATCGGTCGAATGACATAACAAGGGTTTATATAGATATCTAACCCTAATTGACTAATGGCAATAACGTAAATAACAATAATTAGATAAATATAGTAATAGCGTATATGCATATAAGCAACAACATAATACTTTCCACCAAAGCTCATCACATTCGTAGGGCCAAAAAGATCTAGATGTAGAAGCTTAAATGCCTAGATGAAGTGAAGTGAGATATACTCTTGAAGGATGCTCGAGTTTGTTTTCCTAGAATACTTGCATCAGAAAAGAAATCCTTTGATTCTTTTAGTTGAGGAAGTCCATCTACTAAATCCAATTTAGCTAATTTAGCCAATTTCTTTATGCTAACATATCCTAGTCTTCGATGCCATTGAAATTGCTTTTTCTTACCTAAAGAATGAAAGCAGGTTTCATTGAATGATGCCTTTTTACTAAGGTCAATGACATAGACATTGTTTTTCCTAACCCCTACTAATAATAATTTATTGTCTTTGATTCTCTCAATAAGACATGCCTCCGGTTGAAACACAACTCTATTAGTTGTACCACATAATTGACTGATAGATAGCAAGTTGTGTTTAAGATTATCAAAAAATAACACTTGATTGAAGGTAGGATTTGGAGGCTCTCCAATCGTCCCAACCCCAAGTATTCTACCTGTACTATTATCACCAAAGGTTACTTTACCTCCCTTTTTAAGAGTCAACTCTGAAAAGAGGCTCTTGTTTCCCTTCATATGATGAGAGCATCCTCTATCTAGATACCATTCATTTGCTCCTGCTCTCTTAATGACCTAAAAAATATTTAGAGTGTTGATTTTGGTACCCAAACTTGCTTGAGTACCTTTTTCTTTGGATATAATTGATATGAGTCATAATAGTTATTGTAGTAGCAATTCCTCATAATGCGTCATTGTTTATGGCAACAATAGCATACAATTCTTGAATAACATTCTTGTTTAGTATGCCCTCTTCTAGTACATTTACTAAACCTCACTTTTTCTTGCATTCTTTACTATGATGACTCTTTCCACAGTTCATGCATCTAATTTTGTCATTATCTTTACTATGAGCATCACATTCAACCCGCATAATTGATTTATTGTGAGACTTTTTCACATTTTCTTTAGACTTCTTTTCCTTGTGTTATCCTTCTAATCGCTCTATCTTAGTATTTGCTTCAAGGAGTTTAGTTTTAGAGTCTATTAACGTTCTTTCAAGTTCATCATTTATAAGTCTTAATTCTTCTAGCTCTTTAAGAGTTTTATTATTATTGGATTTACCTTTTAACCTCTTCAGAACTTGATTTTCATCACTTAGTGTTGCAATATCCTCTTTTAATTCCTTAATTTCATTCTTACTTAATTTCAAATCCTCTTTTACTTTGTAGTACCTATCTTTTAGTTTCTCAAAATGATTTTGCATTTCTTCATAAGCTTCAAATATACTACTACGAAGATTTGAACCACAATCACTATCATATATTGGAAAGAATGAACATACCTCATCTCCATGTGATCTTGACGAAGAGGATCCATCATCACGATTGGCAAATGCCATATAGCCTAGTATTTCACTTTCTTCATCTTCACTTTCATCTTCTAATCCACTTCAAGCCACTGCATTGGCTTTTTCTCTACTCCGTCCTTTGTTAGGACATTCAACACTTACATGGCCACTTTTTCCACACTTGTAACATTTTGGTAACCCTTGATCTTCACAATCACTTTCCATTTTATTTTTCTTATTTTGTTTATCAGAAGTGTTTAACTTACCATTTCTATTATTCTCACGAAAATAGAAGGAGCTACCCCTTCCTTGTTTTCTTTCTAATTTTAAAAACTTTTTGAATTATTTTTGAAATGAGAGCAAATCCTTGATCGAAATCATTTTCGGATACTTCATCATTTATGACTATTCTCGGAAGCCTTAAATGCTAGAGTTTTATTTCTCTTGGTACTATCCTCGTCACCTTGAGCTTTTAAGGCAATTTCATGACTAATTAGAGATCCTATCAGATTTTCTATACTAAGAGTAGACAATGTTTTTGCCTCTTCTATAGTAGTTTTCTTAGGCATCCATTCTTTGGGTAAACACCAAAGAATTTTCCTGACCAACTCAGCATTATCATAGGTTTTTCCTAAAGCGCCGAGTCTACTTACTATTAAGTAGAACTGTCAAAATTGAACTCGACCCGATTAACCCGCCCAATCCACCCGACCCACAACCCATCTATAACCCGATTTGACAAAAAGTCAACCACGCGAAGCCCGCCCGTAACCCGAAACCAATTGACCCGTAATCCGATCAACGCATAACTCTATGAACTCGTTATCTGATCCAACCCATAACCCGAATGATTCATAACCCAAATAACCCGTAACCGAACCGAACCCAACTCGAATAACCCGAATAACCCATTTGACCCGAATGCTTGTACAAAAATTCAATGTATACATGATTATATTTTTAAATTTACCAAGAAAGAACTGTTGTTCTCATAATAATTGAAAATTATTTGTAGAATTGATGGTATAAATTGAGGTTTTTTCTTAAATATATAATTTTTAAAATAATAATATGTGAAATATCTTTTCATTCATTTTTTATTTTATGAAATTCAAAGGATAAATTTTTGAAGATAATAGGAAGAGTTAGACAAAAATTCCTATCTCCACCACCCATAACTATATTAAAAAAATCAACCCTTGAAAATCAATAACATCCCCAAAATCAATAAAATCAATGATTCTATCAAGATATATAAGTGGATAGTTTACACTTTTTACTTCATTCTTAATTTTTTACTGATTTTATTTATTTTTTTATAAATTAATAAATCCACGATTCGAACTAGATGATAATATCATATTTGAGCGAAACGTTGTTCGACCCATGAGTTTTAGGATGAGATGTTACCGTGAATATATAAAAAATTGTGAAGATATATAAGTAGGTGATTCAGAATGATGTTCATAGGTCTTCATGGAAATGAAGAGACACACATCTAGTTCATAGTATATTTAATTAAGACGATTCATTTCGAGATGTATAAGCATATAGTCTACCTTTTTTACTTCATTCTCAAATTTTTACTGATTCAATTTTCTTATAAATTAATAAAATAAGTGAAGTTACAATCTCTCACCATAAACAAAAAAATTATAACCAACAACAAAGCTTTTATATACACTATTTTATTTATATTTAGTTTTTATAATAACCTAATGGATATTTAATTTGTTTGTGTAAAATATTATCATATATCATTTTTTTTTAAAGTTTGTATCATTACCTATAATTTATATTCATATATTGATAGTTTGTAAAACATTACTTTTGTCAAGAATTAAATGATCCAATGGGGTGACCCGAATAACCCATAATCTGACCTGACCGAACCTGAATTAACCCGTAATCCAATAAACCCGTAATTTGATGCACCCGTAACCCGACCCGATCCGTAACCCAATTGACTAGTGACCTGATTGACTCGTAACCCAATTGACCTGCAACCCAATTAAACCCGATCCAAATTGAAACCGATCCGATTGAACTCGCAACCCGATTGAACCCAACCCGGTTAGACTCAATCCGAACCCGACCCAACCCGCCCAATTGACACCTCTACTATTAAGTTAAACCGAACATACATATAAAAAATAGGTATTTTGAGCATTTGATATTCATGCACCAATTGATATATCCTGGATTCCTTTACCTCGGTTGTCCCTTAGTGTGATACTTTAAAGGTTTTCCTGATCTGATGTGTCGTCTTAAGCCGATTCACCTTATTGAATTCATCTGGACATATCGCACAATTCAAAACATAGCATCTAATTCCATCTTCTTTAGATCATCGTTTGACCATGTGTAGGGATCATCTTTAATATCACCCACACCATTCTCCACCACATTCCAAACGTCAAAACCCCTTCCCTTGAAGAAAACAATCATACGTGTTTTCCAAAAGGAATAGTTGTATCCATCAAACCATGGTGGTCTATTATGTGAGAGACCCTCCATATGAGTGGAGTTAGAACCATGATTCGAAGATGACCCACTAGCCATGCTTGGTATATCGGATCTCAGTTTCCTCGTGGATCTTTTGATCTTTTTGAGGGAGCCGGGCTCTGATACCACTTGTTAGACCAAGAGGGGTCAATAATGAATACTTTTGACGTGATCAATTCACAAATTAATTCATATTTCAATAGTGAGAGATTATCACTAGCTTGATTGAGCAACCCAAAATGGTTTGCCAAGAATCTCTCTTGAAATGATTAATTTGTTATGACACACTTGTTCCAATTGTGATAGAATTTTTCACTTCGTTGTAATAATGATAGGAGCAAGGTTAGAGGAAGCGTAGAGAGAGAGATGAGTCGGGACACACGATTTTAACGTGGTTCGGCCAATATTGCTTTACATCCACGTCTCGGAGATAGTCACCACTATCTCACGAGAGACTCTAACTTTTATTAAAATATAAGACTCTCTATCCTATGAAATAAAAACAACCTTGACACTACGTTTCAAGAACCAAATAGGTACAACTACACACCTATTCAACCCTTAGCTAAATCCAAGCTAAGCTACCCACTCAATCAATCAAGCCAACACTCTTAGTTTAGCTTGATCGAAGAGTAATCCTCCTAGTGCAACTTCCAAGCAAGAATCCCCTCTTGCTCTTGCACTAGTCCAAATTACAAATACCCTTTCTACCCTAAAACCCGACCTAGCTTGACTATCTCAACCTCCGAGATATCAAGCTATTCACACCATGAAATATGATCACACTATTTAAGGGAGAAGAGAACTTTGCAAAAGGTACTCTAGCCTACAAATGACTCCACTATTTATAGTAGATCCGAGAACCCATTTCCTTTCATTTGTAGTCCTTGTATGACAAGCATCTCCTTAATTTGCTACACTCTTCGCTTGATAAGGTAACTCCTTTGAGAGCAAGCTATCACTTTGAATTCTTTCCTTTTCCTAGCAAATCCTTTCACCTTAACCTTGATTGTGATATTTCTGCATAGATTTGCTAGTTCAACATAATAGCATATATTCAAAGCATATTACCCTATGATATTAGAATTGCTAAGTCAAGCTTGTTGACTCAAACAAATTTCTTATGGTACAAACTATAGTTGTACCTGAACCTCACGGCACAACTTTAATTTGTACCTACACATTTTGTCAAATTCCATTATGGTACAACCTAAACTTGTACATGAATCTTAGGGTACAACTTCAAGTTGTACCTACACCTTTCATCAAATTACTTTATGGTACAACCTAAACTTGTATATGTACCCTATGGTACAACTTTAACTTGTACTCACACCTTTTAAACAAATTTCTTTATGGTACAACCTTAACTTGTACCTTAACTTCATGGTACAACTTAAAGTTGTACCTACACATTTCATCAAATTCCTCTGTGGTCCAAACTGTAATTTTATTTGAACCTCATGTTACAACTTTAACTTGTACCTACACATTTTATCCAATTCCTTTGTGGTACAACCTAAACTTGTACTTTAATCTTATGGTACAACCTCAACTTGTACCCACATTTTTGTCAAATTCCTCTGTGGTACAACCTAAACTTGTACTTTAATCTTATGGTACAACCTCAACTTGTACCTACATCTTTCATTAAATTCTTTTAGGGTATGTTTGGATAGAAGGATATGGATTTGGATTTCTAAATGTCAAATCCTTTATTTGGATATTAATTATATTTGGTATTTGGATTTGTGCCAAATTCATGGGGTGATTTCCAAATACATGGGGTGTATTTCTAAATGTCAAATCCTTTGTATGGACCTATTTGTAAACTTATAAAAGTTTAGGTACTAACATATAAGGAAAAATAATTTTGGGTAACAAAATATAATTTACCATAATTTATAATAAGTGACCAGAAAATTAAAATTAAAAGAAAATATCATAAAATATGAAATATAAACAAATTTCAAATGAGTATCCAAACAATGAATTCAAATGAATTCAAATGTTAATATTTTTATTACATGCATTTTAAATATATGTATTCCAAATACTTTACATTTGAAATACACCTATCCAAACACACCCTTAGCTAGCTTTATGGTACAATCTAAACATGTACCTTAACCTCATGGTATAACTTAAAATTGTATCTACACATTTCGTCAAATTCCTTTATGGTACAAACTTTAGTTGTACTTGAACCTCATGGTCCAACTTTAACTTGTACCTACACATTTTATCAAATTTTTTTTAATGATATAACCTAAACTTGTACCTTAACCTTATGGTACATCATCAACTTGTACCTACACCTTTCGTCAATTTTTTTTTCCTGATACAACTTAAACTTGTACATGTACCCTATAGCACAACTTTAACTTTTACCTACACCTTTCAAACAAATTTATTTATGGTACAACTTCAACTTGTACCTTTACACAATAGTACAACTTTAACTTGTACATATACCTTTTGAACAATTTTCTTTATGGTACATCCTAAACTTGTACATTTACTTCATGGTGCAAATTTAACTTGTTCCTACACATTTCGTCAAATTCATTTATGGTACAAACTTAACATTTACTTTAGAGTAATGGTGCAAACTCAAACTGTACGCGTCTTACAGTACAAATTTGTAAATATAATGGTAAAAAAAAAATCAAAATCAACTCAAAGAATTGCATTTGGCAATGTATTTTCATCATTTATCTATGTACGTAGAGAAACATTGTTAATCTTTTCCTCATTGTTATTCTTAGACTAATGGTACAAACTCAACTTATAGCTATACATTTTAAAAAATTCACTTTTTACCTAAAACCTATGGTACAACAATACCAAACTAGCTAGCTCAGGGATTAAACAAGACAAAAGCATTTGATTAAGCCATTCCCACTTTATCCAACCCTTGGTCTCTGTACATCATAATTGATTAAACAATACAATATTTAACTTTCCAGCGAGGCGTCAAAAGTAAAGACCTTTTAGCCTTCAAGCACCACCAAGCTACGTTGATACTGGCATACTGCTATCCCCACTCAGGCTGGACATAATC